TTCTGCAAGACAGGGATTCTCATTCAGTGGAAGAAGGCAGGCGAGAAAATGTTGTGATGGGTCCTCACAAGACTGCCGCTCTGGCCCTGCTCCTGGGAGGATCACTGGGTGCTGCTCCAAGGCTAAGGCTAGTCAGAGATCAAGCCTGCACAGCCTAACGGTACGTGCAAGGTGACCAGGACGCAGGACAGAACCATTGCCCTACAGACACAAGAACATAATGCTGTTTTTAAAAGAGGATATTCAGAGAATAGAAAAACAAATTTTTAAATAAAAATATGATAGGAAAAAATTCTAAAAAAATCATTTGAAGAGCCCAGCCAGTGTGGTTCAGTGGTTGAGTGCTGACCCATGAACCAGGTCACGGTTCGATTCCCGATCAGAGCACATGCCGGGGTTGTGGGCTCGATCCCCAGTAGGGGGCATGCAAGAGGCAGCTGATGGATGATTCTCTCTTATCATTTATGTTTCTATCCCTCTCTCCCTCAACCTTCCCCTCCCTGAATCAATAAAAACATTTTTTTTGTTTTAAATCACTGGAAGAGAATATTGAGAATATGTACAAGAAAGTTGAAGGAAAAGATGGAAAATAGAGATAAGAAATAATAGGGAACATTTGAGATCTTGCTTCCCGCAAATTATTGTCATTTGGGCTCAAATAAAGGCTTGTAAAAATTCAAAAAAAAAGAAAAAAAAATCAGGCCTACATACCAATTTCTTCATAAAAGGAGTTCCAGAAATAGAGATTAGAAAAAAAGTAGAGGGAAGGGAACTTATCCAAGAAGCAATATTTAAAAACTTCCCAGATGAATGGCATAAATTTCCCCCCTGAAAGAGTCCACCAGTGATTAATTCAATGAAGAACAGATTCATCCAACAGTTTCCGATTTTCTCCAGGATGGAGCCTGGGGAAAAGGGGAATCTGATCATTTCCAGTGTAGGCCCCCCAGCACTTGCCTGGAAGGGTTTTCATGGCCAGGGTATGAGAGAAAAAAATGGGACCAGGAGTAGTATCTTAAAAAAAAATCCTCTGACACATCATCAATAATTTTCAGAATACCAGGAATAATGATAAGCTCCTAACAGCCTCCAAAGGGAAACAAATAGGACACATATAAGTAAATAGAATCAAAATGACAGATGACTTCTCAACAGATTCAGTGACAGTTGGAAGGCACTGGTGCGATGCTGTAAAATTCAGGACAGTGATTTCCAGCCTAGATGGCAACACTAACACAATGTTTCCATGGAGTATATGGCTAGAGCTGAGCCTGCTGAGTCACACCAAGGAATTCAAACAATGTGCAGTGCATGCATGCTCTCAAAGGAAGCTGGGGGAAGAGGTATGCCACCAAAACCAGGGAATAAACTAGAGCAAGGCAAAGGACTCAGGAAATGGGATATCCAACTGAGAGAGGTGAAGGGCAACCGATCCAGATCGGCAAGGAAGACAGAGCTCCAAGAGTGTCTTTAAAGAAAACAAAGATAGATTATATGACGTTTTTCATCCTACTAAGAGGAGATTTACACTTCTGGAAGATAGGGTATAAGTTAATGTTTACTACAGAGAACACTAAGCAAATGAAAAATGTGTATTATTAATTCCAAAAATTTTAAAACAAAAAACTGGACCAAAAAAGGAATTACAGATACCACACAGCCCAGTTGTGAATGTTATCAGTGAGAGTGGTGGACCCCCTTCCGCACTGGGTACTGGGGTTGGGGCCCTTAAAATATCTCAAGAAAAAGAATTTTCTGAGAATCCCACGGGAGGATGAGTGACTTTTATTTGTGTGGAATTTCATCCTTGGGTTTCCAAAGTCCCATTTCCCTTAATCCAGTCCTGGAAGGTGTGCAGCTGGGGATTCAGCAGAGCTAGAAGCGGAGCCAGCATCCAGAGCTTCTGTTCCGCGTTGGAATTGGGTCCGGTTCAGCATCAGGCTAGTTGCAGTCCATCAGTCCACTGTGTGTGGGTCCACATGGCTGTGGGCCATGTTGGCAAATGCAGCAGAGCAGGAGCGTCAGGGCTCGGAAAGCAGGAGCTTGGGCCAACAGAGCGAACTCCTTTGTTTAGGGGATTAAGGATCTCAGATCTTCCCAGGCTTGCAGTGGCCAAGCCTGCTCTGGCCAACGCCTTGCTCCCAGGTGTGACTGGCAAGCAAGCACCTTCCCTATTTCGCACAGGCTTGACGGGCATGCGTCTAATCCCTACCAAATCCCTTCCCCCAGGGGGAGACAGACAGGGGGCTTCCTGGCAAAGCTGCACAAATGACATGCCTATAGTGCTTGGCCTTCCCTTTGCTCCTTTCCAGTTACCCATAACTAGGTTAAATGACAATGGTGTCAAGAACAGTATAAGTATTCAATGCTAACTTCACCAAAAAGGGCAGTGTATTCGAAGGATGAGGGAGGAAGGTATGTGTTTAGGGGGAAGGTAGAAGAAATAGAGTTTAACCTTCATATTCCAAAACAGATCAATAGATAAGATGTAAAACTATCCAGAAATAGATAATAATCATGTTACTTAAAAATACAGACATAATGGAAAAAATGGTTAAATGATTTGAAAGTGGTTACTTCTCAGTAGCAAAAGCTAGTGTAAAAAGAATAGGGAAAGAGTGCTATTTTTCATTATAAGTCTTGGGGAAAAACCCTTTTTTGACTTAACATTATTTTCATATTATTTTGGAATAAATAAAATAATAAAGATAACCTAAGCTTATGGGCCAAAGTGAGTAATTCTAGACAGTATCCCTACCAAGTAATCCTGACAATAGACTGTGATAGGTAAACACACACAGGATTCTTGTTCAGATCCAGCACCACTATGGGGCAGAGAGAGATTAGGTAACCGGATTGCTTCATTTAGAATGGGGGCGAGGGGGAAGTGGTAAGAAGTACTTGAATTCAAAAGAGTTCCCTAAATTTCCCAAATTTTTACAGTACTAGGTACTAGAACCACAAAATATTATAGCAGAAAGAAATCTTATATATTGGTTAACAACTTATTTCCCTCACTTTATAGTTACTTGTCCAAGGGTACACAGCTGGTTTGGACAGAATCAGAACTTCCCGCTCTTAACTCTCACTCTTTTCATTGCATCACAATGCTTTTTAAAATAATAATTAAATATCAAGGATATGTATTTGAGTTACTACTGATATATTCATTAGCATTTTTTGTTGTAAAAACGAAGTCTGCTTGAAGATAAAGAAAATGTAAAAATATCTGCATTTTTAAGTTAAACCATATTGGTCTTTTACTTTTTAAGAATTAAACAGATACAATAAAGGAAAAGTATAACTGAACTCTCTTTTCCTACTTGTTATGATGGAACAGAACTGAGAATTTTTACAACTGTTAGGCTGCCAGCTATGTTTGGCCCAAGTTATGGGTTCACTCCTGCTTTAACTCCCTCAAAAATGGCATTAAAAAGTACATAAGGGTGGGACAAAATAGCTTTACAGTTGTGGGTATGCAAAAGAATTTATTCTTGTATTATTTATTAATTATTGAATTATTTTCCATACAAACAACTGAAAACCTACATTTGCCCCACCATGTATTTTTTCAAATTGTATTACTGTCCAAACGATCCCGAATACCCTTACTCAGATATCTAATCATGCCCTCGGGTCTAACAATTTGTTTAAAGTAGGTTTTGGTAACAATATATATTGTCTGAGTTTTAAGGAATTGATGGCATTTAACAAAAGGATTTGGGGAATTTAGGTGCCTTTTTCATAACTAATATGTTACCCAGGTAACCTGGTAATAAGTTTTAAAGACATATCTAAGCATGTAAATTAGTAGGAACATCAAAAATGGGTCAAGGTCTAAAGCAGAGGACCCATTATTTCCAGTTGCCACCCATCATTCAAGATTTTGGTAAAATTCCCAAATATCAGGATTGCTTTAAGTGAAAAATTAGGCTGCCAATTTTTTTCTCTTTTAATTATTAATTGAACATTGCCCAGAAATTTTCCTCACCTTGGCGAAAGGGAGGAGGAATTAGGCATAAATGGAAGCAGCACCCGTATCTTTTCTAGCTGGTCTATTCTGCACTTAAATCTATACTGTAACATCCTTGAGTTTAAGATTCTGAACAAGACTAAACACCTCAAAGGTAATCAATAAATACCTGCGAGCTGACGATTTAAATAACAGCATCGGATCAATATATGTTATTTTCTCATTACTTAGGCATGTCTAAAACAAACTTCCCTATTCTCTAAAGCCATTCGTTTTCAAAAAGCTCTCATGTCTTTCAACATTAATAAAGAAAAAAAAAAAGATTAAAAGGAAAAGTTGATCTCCCAAGGAGGACTCTAAGCAGCCCCTAATTTGTTCAGCTCATTTCACCTCACACAGCCCAGCTCTAGCTAAATGTCCTCTAAGCCACCCTGTGCACTGAGCACAGCAGCCACAAGGCTCCGTGAAGGCGGGGCCTTCAATCAGCTGAGAGCACTCGGACCTTTTCCTGCTCCTGTGTGTTTCATCACACGAATGTCATCTACTGCATTTTATAATTAGTAAGCAGCATTACAGTTTATTCTGCAGGGCTTTATTATTTTAACTTTTAGTTTGAATTGAAATAGGAAAGTTTTACCATAATCAATGCTTTTTTATCTCGAAGAGTTAACTATGAGAACTCGCTATTCAGATCACATTCACGTTTACCAGCCTAAGAGCAGCTTTTCAAATGATACAGGCCTCTGCTTCATTAGAAAGATTCAGGGAGGAAAAGCAATGACAAGGTTATTTAAAGCCATGTTCAAGAACAACAAACAGAATCTGTAACTGGAACTCCAATGTTTAATAAGTACTCTCCATTTCCATAATGTACCTTCTAAAATTGACACATAATTAAGACACCTACTAAAACACAATCCCTGCAAGTTTTGTGTCTGAGGAAAATCCTCATAGAACATTAGTAAAGTATGACTTATAAATAAAATATATTATAATTGTGAACAAATATAAAAGCAACAGTTCCAGATTTATATTTTAGAAAAAAACAATTTATTTTAAGTTAAGAGTCTCTACCTAAATGTATTTTGGTATCAAACAACTATAATTAGTGATGGGGCAAAATGCATCCATAACTGTGGCAAGATGTTAGTTATTTACAAAAACTATACAAAATTAGATTCATTATAACATCGACATATCAAAGCCTCCTGAAATTAATTTTGCTTTTGGAAATGTATCAAAAGTCTTCAAATTCAGAATGATAGTCTTTATTATTTTTAATTCATGGAATTATAACACATCAGATCTTCAAGCAAAAACAACAGATGAAAACCTGTCTGATAAAATATTCTCCTCTTCCCGATAGCTTGGAATGGAAATGAAAATGTGTTCCCTTTTTAGTGAAGAAAAACACTTGAACAAAGTGTCCAATAATATCAAATACAGGTTAGAATGGCTTGTCTGCTGGAACTAAAGTTGGGCAATTACTCCACATTGTTAAATCCACAACCATAGAAGGTATGTATCTTCAAGGTGCATAAAAGCATAACGAAATTTCTTAAATTGTTAACAAGTCTATAAGCACTAACTTAATATTTCATTGCAAAATATAGGTGGCCTTAAGAGCAACATGCTTGGTGAATTTTTCTTAAGCTTTTAGGTTTGATGCCAGAACATTTAAAAATAAGGAAAAAAATTACCATGACTCTTTGCTAATGACTCTCCAGATATTAATCTGCAGACAAGCTAAAATACTCCTCTAACAAAGTATCCAATTATCTAACAATATTTGCCATGAACTCATAGAACAGTAACACATATATAATATAAAAGTAACATCAACAAAAAAAGCCATAGGTATTTTAGGCCTAAAATGAGTTTATCTAATAAGAGTTACATGAGAAATACCATGTAAGACCCAAAATAAATTTCAGATACAAAATTATATGACGTGGCTTTGTTCACACACACCTAAAATTCAGGTTCACGTTAAATAACTAGGCTGGCTTTTTTATATCGCCAGCTTTCATGAGGGCTTTAATGGCTCTGGCCCTCATCTCGAGTTCTAGAAGCTCCAGCTGCTGTGCAGAAGGCTGAACATCTTCTGGTGGAGGGACAGTTAGGGTAGCTGCTTTGGGTTCCTTCGGGCTAGACTCTGCCAATCCCAGAATCTCATTCACACTTTTCTCAATGTCTTTCTCCAGGTCATCTATCTGACCAGCTTCACCTTGGACTGTGCTTTCGGCGACCTCGGGAGCAGCTGCTTCTTCGGGGCACGGGCCTTCTATGTCGCTGTCATAAGCATCTGCATTTATACTTAGAACATCACTATCTTCCCCTTTGCCTGTAACAAACACAAACAGTGAGGAAGAACCATGTAACCTAATTGTTTTGGTTAAAATTGCCTTCCTATTTATGTTTAAAGAGCTGCTTTCACCCACACCTCCCACCATGGAGTCCCAAACACATTCCATCAGCCCCCATCCCACCACCTTTCCACTGACTCCCCCACTTTGAAAGCAGATATAATTTACTATAAATTTCAATGCAGTTTGCATTCCAATTTAAAACATCTAAGCCTTGGGAAATTTATACCATCATATGGAGTTCCATGATCTATTTTCCTAAATAAAATATCTTAAAACTTTACACCACAGTGAAGCGTCTAATTACAAATTGAAAACTGACACTGAGAACCCTTTGGATAGGGTACTGCTTATTACTGAAGTAAAATTCCATCCTAGAAAGAGTTTTAAACACTCTGCTTTAAAACTACAAAAAAGGAAAAATATCACTGGTAAGCTGGATACCATGTGCATTGCAATTATCCCAAAGCTTTTCATATGCTTTTTCAAACACTTTGTTCTAAATCAATAAATTAAAGGAAAATGCCTAAGGCCATTTTCTAAGATAAAATAAGTTTTCATCAAGAGGATTTTAATTAATAAAGTTAGTACACCATAATTTTAAAAAATGCATTTGCAATAAAACTTCTATAACTGATGATAAGAAAATGAATATAAATGCAGATTATAGCTCTCAACCACTCGAGTCTTGGATATTACTCAAATCCAGGTGTCATTTACAACTCTGAGTGCTCACTTATACCTCCAATTTATTTATCTTCTAAGTTCTAATATGTTAAAAAAGTTATGATCCCCAAAATGTTACCTTTCTTAACTTCCTTATGGTAGGAAAACTTATTTACAAAACAGGTTGACACAGATGAAAAGTTCTGTTAATAGAATGTGTAGGAAGGACACAAACAATTCTACTCCACTGGTTTTATAATAAAGATTTACTCACCTTAACTGATCCCCCAGGATCCTAATAATACTCTCTATTCCAAAATTAAAGTGGAAAATGAATCAACAAATTACCTGCGTCCACAAATAGCACTTGTTAAAAAATGGTTGCAATTTTAATTATTTGGTGCCAAAGAATATTTTACACATCTCTCCAAAGCAACAAGTATTCCCAAACAGCTACAGTATTTCCAAAGAGCCTTCTGCGTAAAGCAGTACTCTTTATATGAGTATTCCAGAAAGTGCTAAGTTGTTCATAGTTTCAAAAGGTTAATTTTCATGCCTAGCAGGCTTTAATCTAAATTTTTAAATCTGTAGACACTGATTCTGAATGAAAATCTGCAGCCCGTTTAGAAGAATTTAAAATGTACGGTTTTTTTCTTTTGTTTTTTAATTCTCACCAAGGATATTTTCCCCCCACTGCTTTTCAGAAGGGGGGGGGCGGAAGAGAGACAGACAGACATTGACGTGAGATACAAATCGATTGGTGGCCTCCTGCATGAGCCTGGACCAGGGCCAGGGGTAGAGCCTGCGACTGAGGTACGTGCCCTTGGACGGAACAGAGCTCAGGACCCTTCAGCCTGCAGGTCGGCTCTCTGACCACTGAGCCTAACCGGCTAGGGCGAAAAAGTACGTGTTATTATTTTTTTTTGGGGGGTGGGGGGGGTTGCTTTTCAGACTAGAAACTGTGCCTTGATATTAACTCTCCAAGGCCTCCAGTATTAACGAATCTGCTGGAATCTCATTAGTAACAAAGTCTATGATATATTGGACAGCAATGCTATGCCTGCATGGATTTCTTTTCTTAGACAACAGATAATTTTGGTTTTACTAAGTTTTAAGTTATAAGAACACACTTCTAATGCATTCTAACTGTAGAAAGTCAGTTTGATAACTTTTAATAGTTTTAGTGAGGTCACATCTTTTAGAGAAACCAAAACTTATTTTCTGAAAACTGTTATTTTAATGCATAAGAATAACCTTTTCTTAAGAGGGCTTCACTCTTCCTTGCAGCCAAACTAATAGAACTTGACTGTTTCTTTCGTGTAGTATTTTAAACTACTGTCTTAAATTTAAGTGCATCATGTTAACCGTCATATTCAGGATTTAATCATGGCCTAAGTGATTGTTTCTGATAAAGAAGAAAATACAAACAGTTTAATATAGAAAACCCATCTAATATTCTACCAAACTCCCTTTGGACTTCCAGATAACGTGAGTGTCCCCTAGCCTTTAACCCTAACTTTTAAGAACCACAAATTCGGAGATTGCTCCAAGAGTCAATAAATATCCACTCAGTATCTGTTACATGTGTCACAATGCCGCAGAAGAGGCAGGCTTTACAAAATGCCACAGGGAGGGTAGACTAAATATTTGCTTGCATGATTAAGACAGTTTTGCCTTCATGGTGCTTCTATCTGCTTAAAATATAAACATTATACTTTGAAGTGCTAAACTGTAAAATTTAAGTATAACAGAATTTCAGAATGTAAGAGGTAACAGGGAAAAGTGAAGATCATAGAAGTATGTGAAGTAGGTCTTAGAAACGAATAGGTATATTTCCAAGTATGGGGGACAAAGGTCAAGTGCTAGGTCTGAGTTCAGTACCGAGTAGGTGAGCCTACCAGAATAAAATGCACACGAGAATATATAGAAGGTAGCATCCACAATTACTACCTCTGAAGATCACCATTCTGGGACAGAAAGCACAACAGGGATCCCCTGTCAGCCTTTTACAGTGGATCAGGTAAGTGAGCATTCTGGGGTGACACTGGAGCACAATAACAGGCTGACACATGAGAGATTCCTGACTATCATCTTTCCTCTAGTAACTTAAAAGTAACAGGAAGAAAACCTTTAAAAATGTCACTTATCAGTTTCCTAGTATTAGATTAAAAAGGCTTCTCTTAGAATAAAGTCTGAGGTTAGGGGAAGTACCTAGATGGGGGCTGGTGCCACGGGAGCTAACCATGTGATCAGATGATTGGAACATTCATTCCCAGTCCCCAACCTCTGGGGAGGGGAGTGGGGATGGAATATCAATCCATCACCAATGACTAATAATTAATCAATCATGCCTATGTAATGAAGCCTCCTAAAAACCCCCAAAGGGCTCTGGAGAACATATGGGAATGTGGGGAGAGGGGTGTGTTCAGAGAACACGGATGCTCCCTGCTCCCACCCACATACCTTGCCCTAGGTACCTCCTCCTCGCCCATCTGAATAGTAATCAGTATCCTTTATCCTATCCTTTTACAATAAACTGGTGATCTAGAAAAAAATCTAGGAAGAAATATTAAAATGTACAAAAGGGGGAAAAATGAAAATGGAATAGCTATTTCAGTATCCATATTTATAAGCACTACAGTTCAGAATGAGGGAACTATCCCACCTCCCCCAACAATCTGTTGGAACTTATTTAAAAAGGCATCACACTCAAATATTTTCTGCTAGTGACATCTCAGTGCTCCACAATCTGCCCAACCAAGGGAGGCGTGCTCAAACTCGCTACTTCACAAACTGTCATGTGTCCTGCAGCATTGCTTTTGCTTGCTTACATGTATATAAAAGCTCATAAAGAGATGCTACAAACTTGATTCTAATTTCAGATAATGCAAAGGTATCTCTTATATACTCATGGAGTAGCCAGTCATTATCAAAAAAAGTGTAGTATATTTTATAAAACATAGAAATCTTACCCTAACATTAAAAACTTTCATTACTTTCATTAAAGAAGTAGAAAAAATAATAAACACCGTCAGTTTAACTCTAATTCTTCCCACAAAAGAAAATATGTAAAACAGAAGTAGTGGAAACCTTCCAAAAACTATCACCTTACAGTATGATAGTTAAGGTGGAAAATGCAGTAAAAAATACCCTTATGTTTTCAAAATGGTCAGAGAAAAGTAATTTCATGGGGAAGGATAGTTCAAGAGTGTAGAAAGATTCTCAAAAAAAACAATAAACCCCACAAAAAAACCCAAAACTCTATGCAAACATTAGTTATTGAAATGAGGAAATATCCAAAGAAATGTAAGAATCTATGATGACCACATATTTTACAAAGGGCACATAATCAATGATTAATATAAAAGACTGGTATGAATTTATACAGTAATATAAACAAAGCTCAAGGCTAAGAAAAACAAACAGAAAGACTCCATTTTGTTAAGACCAGAAAGAAGCAAGCTCTGAAGCAATACACTCTTTGGAGGAGATGATACAATAATAATGGGTGAAAGTAACTAACATTCCATGTTGCTTCCATCCCCACTACTAAGAATAATGCACATGCTGGACAGGGTAGGAGAGAAAGAAGGAATTCTTTTTGTCCTCCATCCATCATCCATCCATCCATCCATCCATCCATCCATCCGTCCGTCCGTCCGTCCGTCCGTCCGTCCGTCCGTCCGTCCATCCATCCATCCATCCACTTATTCATTCAAAATAATTTAGGTATGTACCCACTATAGACAAGCACTGAAGACTTAAGGGATCCTAAGCCATACATAATTCTTTGCCCGATACTTCTCCAGTTAAAGAGGATATTCACGTATAGAGAAACGGAAAGCGACTAAAGGGTAGAGACCATGTCAAATTGGTATTTAGGTCCTCATAACTGTTTCTTGAACTGGAAAACAATTACTGGTTACTAGGCAGTGATGAAACAAAAGTAAATAAACAGGCAATAGTGTTATGAACTCGGTGGCAATCAATTTTACAGTGAGAGCTTTGAGAGGAGGTGAGGTCAGCAGAAGTAGGTTAGGGAAGGGTGCACCAATTTGGAGATGTTTGATCTTAATGAACAGCAGCTGACCTAAATAAGAGTATACCACCTGCATGAATGAGTATAAATCTCAGATTTGAATAAACTGCAGTCACAGATATTAAAACTTGTAGTCACAAGTCATAGATTTCCACTATATTCTGAGATATGCTGTGAACTAGGCACACTGATAAACATAGTTCTGGTTTACATAAGGAGTTGACTTCTATAGGACTATAAAGCACAGTAAACCTGACATCAATTCCCAGTAAA